GCGGACAAAGGCACGAGAGCCCCAGACTCGGAAGCGCGACGCATCGCCAACCTTCCCCGTCCAACGCAGTGTGGGCGAGGTCTCCGACAAGGAGACACGGGGCCAGAGGTTGAGCTGATGCGCAGCGTACTGGACCGCAAACGGCCACAGAAAGTGGGGAGCAGCCGCATGGATCATGGAGGTGCGAGCAACCTCCATGACCAGGCCAATGCGGTGCTCAGCAACCCCATTCTGCTGTGGAGAGGCTGGAAGCGTGAACGACTGGAGGATGCCCTCCCCCTGACAAAAGTCCCGCAAGAGGTCGGAGGAAAACTCACCACCTCTGTCAGAGTGCAGACGTAGGACGGGAAAGTCCGTCTGGAAACGGTCGCGGAGCTGGAGACGGACAGCGCGGATCCAAGGGATCAAGACAGCAGGGACTTCACCCTTGCTGCGCAAGGGGAAGACCGTGGTGTACCGCGAGTAGTCGTCAACAACCAGCAGAAAGTACTGCTCGCGGCCCTGTCCACGAACGCGGGCTGGGCCCCACACGTCCATGTGGAGAGTCTGCAGGGGAGCGTCTGTCGGGGGAAACGAGGAGGAGTGAGGAGCGGCGCGCTGCCGCCCCTCGACGCAAGGAAGACACGGCGGGGCAGGCGAGCGTGGGAGCGACGGCAGCGACTGGGGAAGACCAGAGACAAGCAGACGGGAGTGCATGCCACGGAGGTGCGGCAGAGAGGGGTGACCAAGACGGTGGTGCCAGAGGAGAGTCTGGTGCGACAGGCGACGACACAAGCAGGGGGCAGACTCCGGACCGGACAAGGACACCTGACCAGTAGCAGCAACCTGGGGAGACCCGACAGTCAGGGTGTACAGACTCGACCCAGGCCGACGGGTGAACGTGGCCAGGTGGCGGCCCGTGCGGGCACACGTGCAGATCGCCACACGACGTCCTCCAGGGGTGAAGGTGTCAACCCACTCATCCTGGATGACGGCGTTACTCACCAGGTTCGTAGAGAACGAGGGGAGGTGGAGACCTGTAAGTGAGCCAGACGGGACCGCCGGACAGGGGAGGACAGTAGAGGAACGTGCAAGGACGAGTCCCCCTGAGGGGTCAGCAAGGGAGACCGGAACTGGTGCAGAGAGCGGTGTGACTGTGGTGCTGTCGCGGAAGAAGCAGCGGGAGGCACCTGAGTCTAGCGTGAAAGTGTACAAGGCCTCAGTAGGCGCAGTACCTGAGAGAGCAGACTCACTAGCACCTAGAGCAGCAAACTCGCAAGCACCCGTGCAACAGACTTACAAGCACATGGAGCACCAGTCTCTATACCAGGGTCTGGCGGAACACACAGGTAACAGTCACCCTCAGCACTAACAGTCAATGCATACATGGCAGCAAGGATAGCATCATAGTCAAGATCAAAGATCTCTACTCCCCTCCTAAGCAGCTCAACCCAGTTGGGCATCTCAGAGGAGTCAGAAACTGAGCACGCCAGGCGTCACTAAGGCGGGAAAAGCAGCGGTGCTGGGTGTGCAACCTCCCGCAGGTCTGACCAGCACGCTCACCCGTACGAATGACATACGGGCAGGTACCACCACCCCCAGGCGACTGACGCTGCGCGTACCACTCACGAAGGTCCTGCGGCGTACGGGGCAGGCGCTGGCGCTGCTGCTGCTGTGCCTGGCCGCCTCCAGAACCGCCGTGCTGGGCCGCACCACTGCGACCACCACCACCGACCCCGCTGCCACTCCCACCGCCGCCAACTCAGCCGCTGCCACCCCACTGCCGCTGCCACCACCGACCCCACCACCCCCACCCCCACTCCCGCCGCTCCCACCACCCCCGCCGCCACCACCCGAGCCTCCACCACCGCCTCCACCCCCACCACCCCCACCACCCTTGCCGCCCTTCCCCTTGCCGCTGCGGCGCCTGCCACTGGAAGCAGACGCAACCCCAACCTCCTCAGCACCAAGGAGGTCGACAGCAGCAGCAGTGGCGACAGAGGGGAGGAGGGGAGAGGGGGAACACCCCTCAAAGAAGGGGGTGCGAGGAGTGCCTCGAGAAGCTCCTACAGCGTTAATGCTAACCTCGGCCGCTATAAGGTGCTTTTCAAGGAGGTCTATAGTGAGCTCAGTGGGGTCCATGGCGAGGAAGGTGTCCCTGACAGCGCGAAGAGAGTCAGGGAGGCGAGTGACTAGGAGGTAGAGGGTGTAGTGGATAGGGGGAGGGTTCTTGGCGAGGAAGTCGGCAGGGGTCGCAGCACGCACCCTAGCGTCGCTAGTGCGGAGGTGGGTGATGAGATCAGCGACTGTAGGAAAGGCGGACAGGTCAGGAAAGAGGTAGGGCAGGATAAGACGGCCTAGCGCAGCAGTGGCAGGCGAGCTGTAGCGAGCTACGACTGCGTCGAACAGGTCCTTGGCGGTTTTCTGTTGGCTAAAGTGCGCACGCTCGGCTAGCGGTAGGTGGTTTCGCACAGCTAGGCGAGCAGCAGCGTCGCGAATAAGCCACTGGTCACGAGTGTCAGTGCCAGCAGTGTCTGCAGGGGCGGCAGCGCTACCAGACGTATGAGCGAACAGGGACACACGATCCTTAGACTCGCACTGAAGGTAGAGCCTAAGGTCGTCTAACCAGGTTTCAAATTCGATCGGGCGGCCCTCTGCGTCAAAGGTGAGAACATTATAAGTCGCCATCGTTGGTAGCGCAGGGCAGCAAGGCGGCGCTCACTAGGCTAGGGCCGGCCGGCAGGGGAGGAAGCGGACTGCATGCACACGCAGGCAGGGGGCGCGGCGGGCGGCGCTGCGCACGGGCAGGGTAGGGTGGCGCGGCTGCGGGCTGCGCACGGGCAGGGCAGGGTGGCGCGACAGCGGGCTGCGCATGGGCAGGGCAGGGAGGCGCGGCAGCTGGCTGCGCACGGGCAGGGCAGGTGGCGCGGCTGCGGGCTGCGCACGGGCAGGGCAGGGTGGCGCGGCGGCGGGCTGCGCACGGGCAGGGCAGGTGGCGCGGCTGCGGGCTGCGCACGGGCAGGGTAGGGTGGCGCGGCGGCTGGCTGCGCACGGGCAGGGCAGGTGGCGCGGCGGCGGGCTGCGCACGGGCAGGACAGGGGGCGCGGCGGCGGGCTGCGCACGGGCAGGGCAGTGCGCGTGCGGGCGGTGCACGGGCAGGGCAGGCGCGCGTGCGGCGGGGCGACGCGACAGCAGCGCGACGCGGCCAGCAGCGCGCGCGGGGTGGGGCAGGCAGAGCAGCGCGCTAAAAAAAAAATCGCGCTGCAGCAGTGGCGCGCGGCTAACAGGGGCAGCGCAACTCGGGGTAGGGCAATGGGGTAACGCAGTAACAGGTGGGCCCGATGAAGAAGCTTAGGTCCTAAGGACCCATGGCTCTTAATACCACGTCAAAGTAATGGACAAGAATGATGAACTAAGGAAAGAATGTGATACAAGTATGAAACCCTAAAGGGGTTGTACCCCTTAGTGGCTACCCCACTGTAGCCTACAACATACAGATATAATTTAACACAGGGCCCAAAATTGGTTTAGGCCTACCCTTACAAATCAGGGTTCCAGCCCCTCCTTAACCAGACCCCTAGGGTAAAAAAATTCGTACCCTGTTTGCAGCACGGTAAATCAACCACTAGCCTGATTTGAGCAGGGTAGTTTTAGGCTAAGCCTGTTTCAGCCACTATTTTGTGAGCTAAGTTATTTACCGTATACTGACATAATAAAGTAGCACACACAAAGTCAATGAGGTCTGGGAGAGCATGACATGACATTCACAACACACCTACTCAGTGCCACCCCCACTGCCTACTCTGTGCGATGGGTACGGCGTAGTTCTTGCTAAGGCGTGGTAAAACGCCCAGCACGGAGAGGCCGTTTCTCGTGCTATCAGGTGGATCGGGCTCTCCAGTAGGCATTCTGGACTTAAAAAGTTGAAAATGGGTGGGAATCAAGGCCCAAAATATCAGGGTAAAACGCCCTGATTACCCTGGGGGCGGCCGCTTTTTGAGGATTACCCTGCCCAAATCAGGATTCGACGATACCGTCATCGCCCGGATAGTAGACAGTGTTGAATAGTAGACAGGGGTTGTCTATTATCCGGGTGTCTCTTATAAACAGGCTAGCCTCATTATAAGACACCTGTTTGTGTGTACGGGTTAAGGAAGTGTAGGAATTAGGGGCAATTGTATAACGAGGGGGTATCTTCTAAACGGTTTTATGTCCATTTATAAGACACCCTAAACCGTCCCAAATACAAGACAACCCAAGCTATAAGACATATATGTCATAAACATCTTTTTTTGCCCGTGTACGAGATAAGACATATATGTCTTATATCCGGGCGATGACGGTAGTTACCTTTTTCTAAAAAGAGCATGTTCTTTTCTACACTGATAGGATTTATGGTTAGCCTGACGGTATCAGGGTACGGTGTAGACTACCCTGATACCGAAACTTTTTTACCGCGGATCAGGCCATACTCCGCGTGGTGACAAACTGTACCACACCCCCACAACCGCGCGTTGTCGCTTGTGACCACTGGCATAAAACACTGCTTCGTTGCCCGCGACACGCCATGTCGCCTCATTGGTTGTTTCTCCAGCACGATTGCCAACGCACCCTTGAATCCAGCCACACGTCGCCATCACAGCAGATTTGGGCGTCAACGACAGCTTCAAGCTGTCCTTGACAACAAATTGCAGTCCCATTCCTGCTCTGCTGGCCATGCACTCCCCCCCGTGTGGAAGAAACGGCCCTTTCAAGGCTGCCAGAGGCTCGTTCTCTACGAGGGGGTCTCTCGCCGCAGGAGGCGTGGGTGTGCAGAGCCCCTAGAGGCGTGTGGTCTACAAAGCGTCGGTGGGTGTGTGGTGTGGAGCACCTAGAGCTAGTAAGCTGAGCCCAGCTATTGCTGGGCTGCATGGGAGGCAGCGGCATGGCAGAACATGCCAGCAGTAGCCCCGACTAATTGTTGGTCAGTGTGTGGGGTGCCTAGAGCTTGTACATGCTCGTTGTACTGCTGTTCAGCGTGCCTAGAGCTTGTACGCTGAGCGCAGGTGCTGCAGGGTAGTATGGGTGGCAGCGGCTGGAATGGAGGCCGAGAGGGCTTCATCCCACAGGGTGGAAAGACCTGCGAGGCAGAAGCAGAGCAATTGGGGTGAAGGGGAGAGGGGCGAGAAGGGAAGGAAGAGGTGAAGGGAAGAGTGGCAAGAATGGAATGAAGGGTCGCCCAGGGGCAGGGGTGGAAGCAGATAGGGCTTCTTTTCTGAGGATAGAAAGATGTGAGAGGCAGAAACAGGCAGTCGAACGGGAGAACAAACGAAAGGAGCAGGAAAGGAATGGCAAGAGGGATGTTCCTCTTCCAAGGGGATAAAATGTTCCTCTCTGCACTCTCTACATTACATGTGAGACTCACGTTGCTTGTCAGCAGACGGCATGCAGAGGAGGAGGATGGGAAAGCGCGGCACAGAAGGAAAGGCGGAGAGCAGAGCCACGGCTGCTCCGGAATCCGAGCTGGGAGGGAGAGAGGGCGAGGAACGGAAGGAAGGGGAGAGAGGGGAGTGAGGAGAGGGCAGGAAGATAGGGGTGTGGGGAGATGGCAGGGAGAGAGGGGTGTGAGGAGAGGGCAGGAAGCAGAGCCAGTGGTGTTATGCCATCCGTGTCGGAGGGAGGGAGCGAGGGAGGGTGAGGCATGCAAGCAAGGTTCAAAAATACGACCGAAATTTTGAAAATTTACCGTATTATACGGTATCGTATTTTACGGTCGTATTAAACGGTAAAATACGGTCAGACCTTGCATTTTTGGGTTGGTTCAAAAATACGGTCGTTTTTTACGGCCAAAATTTTGAAACGGAGATTTGTGAAAGCATTTCTAAACCTCGGTGTTGACCGTCGTGCTCAAAAAATACTTAGGGGGATTTTGAGTTTCCGTGGAGCCCAGGAACATCCCCACAGAAGCTCAGACAATTTCCGTGGCCGTCAGTAATAGTCTTGAGTTACGGGCTAAGGCTTGCGCTAGGGTTGGGCGAAGGTAAATGTCGAGATCTGTGAAAGTGTATGGGGGGTTGGGTCTTGTAGATCCAGTGCGGTGACAAGTGGTAAGTGGCGACAAATTGGTTGGGACATTCAGTTCCAACAATTTTGACGGGGAGGAAGGGGTGCCTGGCAGCCTGGCTTTCCTCACTCCGTTCGTGGCGAAATCAAATTGACCGACGAACCGCCAATCTATGCAGAGCTATGAGCGAAATCGCCGATCTGCGCAGATCGGCGGGTGAAATCGCCGCACAAGCGGGGCCGCCTATAATAGTCCGAGTTTCCGTGGGGGAGCGTTTTTCTAGGCATAGAAATGATTTATACCATTTTAGGCCTGTAGTTAGCAATTTCTTTCATGTTGGTAGCAAGTCACGTTTTTTTTTGCAGAAAAAAAAACTCCAGCAAAAATACGGCCGATTTTTTAAAAATTGGCCGTAAAATACGACCATATTATACGGACCGTATAATACAATTGCCGTATTTTTCATCCTTGCCTGCAAGTGGAAGAGAGTGAGCCGATTTACTGAGTCGACTTTTGAGTCAACTCAAAAGCAGAGTCGACTACGAAAATCGTGAACATGAACATGCTCAAGATACATGACGTGAAGACTTTTGAGATGCTGGAAAAGAGAGGGCATGCATGGATGTGCGGGAGAGGACAGATGGGCAGATGCGTGCAATCAAATGGGAAGATATAAAGCATTGCAGGGCACTGGGTTGGTTGTTAGAGCTGGCAGGGCACTGGGTTGCTCGAGCTGGCAGGGCAGCCCATGGTGGAGAACTGCATTGCCGCTACAACACCACCCTCTTCATCTATGGCCAGGTGCGCCCTCCCCCTCCCCCAGGTGTGCCCTCCCCCAGGTTTCCCCCCCCCCCCAAGTGCGCCTGGCCATCTGGGGGCAACAGATGAACTGCTGTATTTCATCTTTCGGTTTCGGTTGTCTGTCGTCCATGTTTTCATCACGGAGGAGCAAGTGAGACGAGCTCTTGGCGTGCGAAACACGGAAATTGAGGAAAGCTCTTATTTTCCTCAACTTCCGTGTTTCCAAGTCAAGAGCTTGTCTCACTTGCTCCTCCGTGATGAAAACATGGGCGATCCACAACCGAAACCAAAAGATGACATACAACAGTTCAATGGCTTGACCTGCTGCAACATATTCGATATAGAAGGTTTGGTGTTATTTTGAGGAGCATTTCTTAAATTCTAGTACGACGCAATGAATTACCAAGTCTCTGAAACAATATGCTTTTTCTATCCTCTATTGAGACACATCAATAAACTCTGAAAACATTACTTTACCACCACTAATGATCTGAGGTGGCCTTCAATCTAGAATAATACATGAAAGCTTGTTCCCATGTACCAATCACAAGACTACCGGTATGACTGGGTGGTTGACGTCACATCACCCATAGTATTTCATCAGTGCTATGTATCTATCAACATGTTGCCTGGTCCCCCAGATGGCCAGGCGCACCTGAGGGAGGGAAAACCTGGGGGATGGCACACCTGGGGGAGGGGGAAGGCGTACCTGACCATAGATGAAGAGAGTGTTGTTGTAGCGGCGATGCAGTTTTCCACCATGAGCTGCCCTGCCAGCTCGACTGGGTTGCAGTCGAACCTTCTTAAAGCAGGTTCGACTGCAGCTGTAACACTTTGTCATTGAATTAAATAAACAAAACACTTGTGAGTTGGTGTTCACTGGAAGAGAGTTGAAAGGATGATGGAGAGCACTGCAGCGAGGGGCGACGGAGAGAGGGAGAGTGGGAAGGGAACAGGAGGGAAAGAAGCGGTGGGGCAGGCATTACCTGAAGAGAGTTGAAAGGATGATGGAGAGCACTGCAGCGAGGAGCGACGGAGAGAGGGAGAGTGGGAAGGGAACAGGAGGGAAAGAGGCGGTAGGACAGGCATTGCCTGAAGAGAGTTGAAAGGATTATGGAGAGCACTGCAGCGAGGAGCGATGGAGAGAGGGAGAGTGGGAAGGGAACAGGAGGGAAAGAGGCGGTAGGGCAGGCATTACCTGAAGAGAGTTGAAAGGATGATGGAGAGCACTGCAGCGAGGAGCGACGGAGAGAGGGAGAGTGGGAAGGGAACAGGAGGGAAAGAGGCGGTAGGGCAGGCATTGCCTGAAGAGAGTTGAAAGGATTATGGAGAGCACTGCAGCGAGGAGCGACGGAGAGAGGGAGAGTGGGAAGGGAACAAGAGGGAAAGAGGCGGTAGGGCAGGCATTGCCTGAAGAGAGTTGAAAGGATTATGGAGAGCACTGCAGCGAGGAGCGATGGAGAGAGGGAGAGTGGGAAGGGAACAGGAGGGAAAGAGGCGGTAGGGCAGGCATTACCTGAAGAGAGTTGAAAGGATGATGGAGAGCACTGCAGCGAGGAGCGACGGAGAGAGGGAGAGTGGGAAGGGAACAGGAGGGAAAGAGGCGGTAGGGCAGGCATTACCTGAAGAGAGTTGAAAGGATTATGGAGAGCACTGCAGCGAGGAGCGACGGAGAGAGGGAGAGTGGGAAGGGAACAGGAGGGAAAGAGGCGGTAGGGCAGGCATTACCTGAAGAGAGTTGAAAGGATGATGGAGAGCACTGCAGCGAGGAGCGACGGAGAGAGGGAGAGTGGGAAGGGAACAGGAGGGAAAGAAGCGGTAGGGCAGGCATTACCTGAAGAGAGTTGAAAGGATTATGGAGAGCACTGCAGCGAGGAGCGACGGAGAGAGGGAGAGTGGGAAGGGAACAGGAGGGAAAGAAGCGGTAGGGCAGGCATTACCTGAAGAGAGTTGAAAGGATTATGGAGAGCACTGCAGCGAGGAGCGGCGGAGAGAGAGAGTCTTTGAAGATGGTTGATAGGCGGGCAGGCGGGAGTGACTGCAGGGTGGAGAATGGGGAGAAGGGAGGGGATGGGATGGATTGAGAGGGGAGGTGAGAGGGGAGGTGAGAGGCCGGAAAGAGTTTTAGAAGATGGTTGACAGGTGGGCAGGAGGTGCAGCATCACACCCCTGCAGTCGCCGCCACTGCCTCCCAAACTCCAACGCTGACTGGGGAGAAAGGGGCCACTAGTGCTGCCTTGGCAAGCTTGCCATTGTAGCCCTCATACCACTCACCACTCATACCACTCACCTCTCACCCCTCACCCCTCCCCCCTCACCCCTCCCCCCTCCCCCCTCACCCCTCACCCTTCACCTTGATCAAGGCAGCCTGTGCGTCGTCACACCCCTGCAGCCGCCGCCACCGCCTCTCAAACTCCAATGCTGACTGGGGAGCAGGAGAGGCCACTGGGGCTGCTGCTGCTGCTGGTGCTTCTACTGTTGCTGCGGCTGCTACCGCTGCTGGCTGCTGCTCCTGCTGCTGCCCTACCCCTAACTCCTGTCTCAATCCCCGCTCCCCCTCGTGCCGCCCCACTCCCATCATCTCTGCAGCAGCTGCCTTTTCTCGCAGAATCTCCGCCGCCCGTTCCACTGCCGTCTCATGTGCTGACGTCAGCTCTACACCCCGCAGTGACTTTCGAGTTGGCCCGTAAGTCCCTTCGACCGCCACGTCATGCACTGACGTCAGCTCGACCCCGCGCTGACTGGGAACGGCAACGACACTAGCAGCAGTCGAAGGTACGGGGGAGATAGGAGGGGTGGAGAGGGAAGAAGCAGGGGGAGGGGAGGCGGAAAGAAGGGAAGGAGGGGCGGATGGAGAGGAGGAGGATGGCTTTGGGAGGTGAGAGGAGGAGTCCGCTTGTGTAGCAGAGGCAGGGGCAATGGCAGCTGTCGCAATTGCAGGGGCCATGGCAGCTGTCGCAATTGCAGGGGCCATGGCAGCTGTCGCAATTGCAGGGGCCATGGCAGCTGTCGCAATTGCAGGGGCCATGGCAGCTGTCGCAATTGCAGGGGCCATGGCAGCTGTAGCAATTGCAGGGGCCATGGCAGCTGTCGCAATTGCAGGGGCCATGGCAGCTGTCGCAATTGCAGGGGAGGCAGAGGGAGCGAGGGAAGTGGGCAGCAGAGGAGCAGAGCCATCCAAAAGCGCAGTCGATGCTCTCTGGCGCACTTGAAGTGCACTTGACTCCCTAACCTCTTGCGTTCCCTCCGCCTGTGTTCCTAATGCCTCCTCCTCCTCCTTCTCGTGTTCTGCCTTCCCCTTATTCTCTGCTCCAGGCGAAACGGGTCCCTTCCCTTGTGAATCCGCCTCTGTAACATCACTGATCCTTAAAATCCCCACACCTCCCTCCACACCTTCCCCCCCACCTCCTTTCGCACCTCCCCCTGCGCCTCCCCCTGCCTCTGCACCCCCTACGACCCTTCCATCCCCTACGACCCTTCCATCCCCTACGACCCTTCCATCCCCTACGACCCTTCCATCCCCTGCGACCCTTCCATCCCCTGCGACCCTTCCATCCCCTGTGACCCCACCAACTTCTGTGGCCTCTGAACTCTCTGCACCCCTCTCAACCTCTGTAACCGCCTTCTCCTCCTTCACCTCCTTAATCTCCTTCACCTCCTTAATCTCCTTCACCTCCTTATTCTCCTTCACCTCCTTAATCTCCTTCACCTCCTTAATCTCCTTTACCCCCTTAATCTCCTTAGTATCCTGAATCCCCTTAACCTCCTTAATCTCCTGAACCGCTTTTCCTCCTGTAACATCTGTAGTAAGCCCTGAAACAGTCACTGCGACTCCTCCTGATGCTCCTGCTCCCCCTGCTATCCCTGACACCCCAGGCACGACAACCTCGCCGCTTGCTGTGCCTCCCTTGAGCGCCTTCGCAATCACCCCCACTCCCTGGATGAAACAGGGAAATTTAAACAGACGGGTGAATCGTAACATGGAACACTCAAAACAAGGTGAATTCTGTTTTGAGTTCACTCAACAAAACAAGGTGAATTCTGTTTTGAGTTCACTCAAAACAAGGTGAATTCTTGTTTTGAGTTCACTCAAAACAAGGTGAATTCTGTTTTGAGTTCACTCAAAACAAGGTGAATTCTGTTTTGAGTTCACTCAAAACAAGGTGAATTCTGTTTTGAGTTCACTCAAAACAAGGTGAATTCTGTTTTGAGTTCACTCAAAACAAGGTGAATTCTGTTTTGAGTTCACTCAAAACAAGGTGAATTCTGTTTTGAGTTCACTCAAAAGGCACTACCTAAGTTGGAAAAAACGCGTATTGCGTTTTGTACGCTTTCGTATAAACGCTAGCGTACAAACGCAAAACGCTGGCCATGAGGGGTCTGGTATGCACATGAATACGCTTGCCCGGGCAGGAAAAAGGTTTTTCCCGGGCAGGTTAGATGCTAGGTCAAGAGATGGAGACGGGCGCTGCGGTAGTACGTCATCGTCGCAAGTAAAATAAGGGGAGGAAAAAATCGAACGCGGAGATTATCGAAGGGAAAAACGACCTACATTGAGTGGGGAGGATGAGTCTGGTTGGGGTTGGCAACACATTGGAAAGGATTGGTAATATGATGGGGTTGGAGTGGGTTGTTGAGCGGTGGATAGGAGGGGATTATCCACCAAACAATCTCGAAATTTAGATCCGAGGTAGCATTTGCAATGCGCGAACTCAGATCTGAATTTCGAGACTCAAATTTGAGTTCACCAGATCGCAAAATCAACTGATGATTTTTTTTCCGGTCAGACCAAGCGAAATCTGGCGAATTTTAGAAAAATACGCAGCGTACGAATTCTAGACGCGTATAAACTCAATACGCAACTTCAAACAAGCGTTTTTTCCAACTTAGGGCACTACAGCCTGGCCGCTTGCTGTCCCTCCCTTGAGCGCCTTGCGATCACACCCACTCCCTGGATGGAACAGGGCATTTAAACACAGGGCGTGTATGGAACACTTAAAGCAAGGTGAACTGAGAGTTCACTCAAAAGGCACTTCAACCTGGCGGCCGCTTGCCGTCCCTCCCTTGAGAGCCATTGCAATCACACCCACTCCCTGGATAATACAGAGGATTCATTCAAAGACAGGGCGGGATATAGCACACTCAAAGCAAGGTATGCTTCGAGTTCACTCAGAAGCCTCTATGACCTGGCAGCCTACTGCCCCTCCCTTAAGAGCCTTGGGAATCACACCCGCTCCCTGCATGAAACAGGGAATTCAAAAACAGGGCTTTTCATAGAGCTCTCAAAACAAGGCGAATTTCACCTTCACTCCAAATGCATCACAGCCTAGCCACTTGCCATCACTCTCTTGGCAATCACACACACCCACGCCACGCCTAGGGATGAGCAAAAATCCGGGCTGGGCCCGGCCCGGGTCGGGCCGGTCCGGAATTGCCCCGGGCCGGGCCTCAGATTTTGGGTTTCAGCCCGTGGCGGGCCGGGCTGGGCCGGGCCGGCCCGCCTCGAAGCGCGGCCCGGGTCGGGCCCTTAGGGCCATGGGACTTAAAAGCTGGCCCTAAAGCATGAGCTACTGCATCAAATGACCACCCGGGCCGGGCCGGGACCGACCCGGGTCGGGCCTTGCACGGCCCGGGTCTGGCCACCCTGGCCCGAGTACCATATGCCCGGGCTCGGGCCACAATCTTCCTGATTCGGCCCGGGTCGGGCCGGGCCAGGCCCGGCCCGGTTTTTTGCAGGGCCCGGCGTGGCCCGACCAGGGCCGGGCCCGGCCCGGCCCGTGCTCATGCCTAGCCACGACCTAGTTGATTACGAGCGTGGTATAATATTACAAAGCAAGGTGATTCATGAATTGTCTTATTTAGTCGACTCAAAAGCCATCCCAGGCGCTGCGATCGGGCAGCTTGTTGTTCCTCGCTCAAAGGCCTTCGCAATCACACCCACGCCCTGATTGAAATGGTCACAGTAGTTTATATCAATCATAGGGGCGAAAACAAGAGGATACGAGCGTGGTGGGTTCAAACCTCGAGGTGAAATATAAATATAATTTCCAACTCGTCTCAAAACCCACCCCCTAGTTTGCCACTTGCTGCCCCTCGCTTTGGGGTAGGGATCTCAATAACATTTAACGAATTCACTCACCATCTACTCACCATCTACTCGCCACCCACTCAGCACCGTGTCAAACCGCTTTCCACCCCTCAGCACCCACCTCCTTGGCCTGCTTCTGCAGTAGAGCGTTCGCCTGAACTTGCTGCTTTAGCAAATCCTTGTTGCCGGGATCAAGAGAGAGGCCTTGGGTGATGTCTGTAGAAGAGTGGGAGATGGAGGCAAGAGGAGGGGATGGAGGAGAGGAGAGGAGATTGGCCGTGTGAGGAGAGGAGAGGAGATTGGCCGTGTGGATAAGTAACATTCCCCTCTGCCTGCTTAATCAGCAAATCCTTGTTGCCGGGATCAAGGGAAAGGCCTTGGGTGATGTCTGTGGCCCGGGATGGGGGGTGGACGAGAGGGGGAGAGAAGCGGGAACGCATGGAGAGGAGGGGAGATAGGGCATGTGAAGAGGGTCGTTCGCCTCTCTGCGTGCTGCTTTAGCACGTCCCTGTTGCCAGGATCAAGCGAAAGGCCTTGGGGTAATGTCTGTGGAGTGGAGAGGGTTGGGAGACGGACTCAAGAAAAGGGGATGGGGAGGAGGTGAGGTTGGGATAGTGTATGCCGTGCTTGCTGCTTCAGCAGATTCTGCCTTGCTAGGATCAAGCAACATTCCTTGCTTTATGTCAGTGGTGCTTCACCGAGCTTCACCGAGCTTCACCGAGCCTCACCGAGCTTCACCGAGCCTCACCGAGCCTCACCTTACAGTTCAATGCATCGACTCAGTCTGTGCCTGCATCACGCTGCAGCCCTCACCTCACGGCAAGCGCCTTCACATCCTCACTGTCCCCGTGCAACAAGGCAAGGTTGCTCGTGCAACAAGGCACGTTGCACCGCATCCCACCGCGCCCCACCCACCTTGCAGCGCGTTGATCGGCCGACTGAGCTTCAGCCTTGCAGTAGCTCTCGTGGCGAGCGCCTTCACATACCCATTGTCTCTATCCAACGCTTCTGTCTGAGCAACAAGACAAGACCCCTCACCTTGCAGAGCGTCAATGGGTCGACTAAGCCTCAGTCTCGCAGTAGCCCTCCTCGCGAGCGCCTTCACATACTCATCGTCCCGATCCAACGCTTCTGTGCAGTCCGCTTCAGCCTCCTCGTAACTGATACAGACACACTCGATACAAGCAACCAGGAATCGAGCAGAATGGAATGGATAGAAGCACATCAGATAAAGGCACATTGGATACAGGACCATTCAATCCATGCACATTTGGAATGAATGATGCAACCTATCAAGCAAGCTGCCTTGCGCTCCTCGCACCTGACTTAAACACCTTCGATATGAGCACACTGAATACAAGAACATTGGATGCACACAAAAACTTATGTCTCACCTACCCAGCTTCAGTGCTGCCATATTTCAGCTGAGGAAAGACGCAGCAGTGCGATGAAAATGAAGGACAATTATTGGGAGCAGAACGACAGGTTTTTGAGACGTCTCAAAAGGACAATGCTTGGGAGCAGAACGACAGGGTGCATTTTTCTAGGTGCCTCAAGAAGTGTAGCACGCTAGGGTGAGGGGCATGTGCTCAGGTGTCTGGGCCAGATACCATCCCCCTTCTCCTTTTGACGCGCCTCAAAAGCCTTCTCCTTTTGACGCGCCTCTAAAGTGAGGGGCATGTTCTCAGGTGTCTGGGCCTGATACCATCCCATCCCCCTTCTTCTCACCTGCCCAGCTTCAGTGCAGCCATGGCTCGGTTGGCGAATGCCACAGCGGTGGGATGGAGAGCAATGCTTTGGGAGTAGCAGGAGAGGGCTTCTTCGAAGCAACCAGCCTTGAAATGCCCGTTGCCCTGATGAGAGCATGCAATCACAGATGCAGGGACGTGCTTTGAGGAGCCTCAAAAGCATGCAAGCACAGATGCAGGGACGTGGGAAAGCAGATGGACAGAGCGGGTTTGGGCTTCGAAACACCTCCGAGCAACAGGAGGGGGAGCATGGGATGGGATGGAGCGTGGTGATCTGAGGGGTAACACAAGAGCACATCATCAGAACGACCTTTGAGTCGACTCAAATGTCGCACGACCCGCCTAAAAAGACTCAAATGTCGCACGACCCGCCTAAAAAGACGCCTCCAAGCCTACTCTTCCCACTTTTAAATCTACGCTCCAAATTCCCTCAGCTGCCACGCTTCCTATCCCTTGCCTTCCTCTGCTCTTCTCACTCCCTTTCCTCCTTCCCCCACTCACCCTCTCTTTCTCTGCTGCAGCCGCTGCCTCCATGCCTCCCCTGCCCGCCCCCACAACCCCAATCTCTCCCCCGTCCCCCTCCCCCTCCCCCCCAACATCCGCTGCTGCCGCCAGTCTGCCAATCAACTCCGCTGCCCCCCCCGCTTCCCCAATCGCCCCTCCTCCTCCCCCACCGCTGCTCGCTCCCCCTCCTCCTCCCCCACCGCTGCTCCCTCCCCCTCCTCCTGCCCTTGATGCTTTCGGTTCCACTCCTCTTGCTCCCCCACCTGCCGTTGCTCCGCCTGCTGCCCCCCCGCCTGTCGCTTTCCCACCTGCTGCTGCTCCTGTCGCTCTGGCTTGCCCTGTTGTCTTCTTGCTGCCGCCACCTAAGAAACCGATGTTCCAGCCTGGCGCTGACGTCGACGGCTCGCCGTTCACCTGGGGAGTTGGGCCCACAATGATTAGACATACGCAGCTCAGCTGTAGTCAACGCACAGGAGGGGAAAGCGCGAAATACACTCAGTCAGGCACACAGGGGATCAGTGCTCACAGGGGATCAGTGCTCACAGGGGATCAGTGCTCTCGAAAGCAGTTCACTGTGTGGCTGATTGAGTGCGTTTTGAGCATCTAAGACCCCCCTCAACCCCCTCAACCCCCTTTTTCCCACACGAATCATTCGTCCCTCCCTTCCCCTCACTGAAAATAGTGTACGCACAGGAGGGGGAGGCAGGACCCAGTGCTCTCGAAAGTAGTCCACCGTGTGTTTGATCGGCCGCCCTCCCCCTTTTTCCCCTTTGCCCACCCAGACCATTCCCCACTTTCTCTCACTGCAGCTATAGCATACGCACAGGAGGGGGAGGCGGAACCCAGTGCTCTCGAAAGTAGTCCACCGTGTGCCTGATCAGCCGCCCTCCTCCTGATGCTGCAGCTGCTGCAGCTGATGGTGATGATGATGATGATGACGGTGCTGCTGACGTGGCCGGTGCTGACGTGGCCTGTGCTGACGTGGTACTCGTGCTGTTGACTTTGGACTTGGCTTTCTTCTTTGCTGCTGCTGCCGTGCCGTCCTGACAGCACCATGATGCATGCATGCACCCAGGCATCGTGCACATGCACATACACATGCACATGCACATGCACATGCACAGGCACATGCACATGCACATGCACATGCACATGCACAGGCACATGCACATGCACATGCACATGCACAAGCACATGCACATGCACAGGCACATGCACGTGCACATGCACGTGCATGTAAGCATGTAGCACATATCCACGTGGCAGCAACATGCATATGCACATGCATGCACAAATCCATATGGCAGCAATATGCACAGGGAACGGAGGGAAGCCGAAACGCAAAATAGTAAAAACCTTCATAGGGAAACTATGCGCTATAAGAGTGATATAAGAAGAGCGATATAAGAGTGAGGGAGATATACATGTGATATCACTCTTCCGATGTCTAAACACTGATACAATCTAGTGGGCGGTCGACCCACCAATCTCAATATACCCTTCAACATAGCACGCTAAATCAAGCGGACCCACTCCTACCTTGGCTTTCCCCAACGCGTTGTCCTTCCTCCTTCCCCTCCCACAGTCGCTACCCTTGCGGCTTGCGACAGTTTTCCAATTTCTAGAATATATATATATATAAAACTCAACCATCTACCCTTCACCGTAGCACGCTAAATCAATCGGGAGCCATTCGTACCTTGGCTTTCCCCGACGCCTTCTCCTTCCTCCTCCCCCCTTCCCCTCCCAGAGCCACTACCCATGTCCATCTACCCATGTCTATCTACCCTTGGTGGGACCGTCCCTACCTTGGCTTTCCCACCCTCCTTCTCCTTCCTCCTCCCCCTCCCAGAATCGCCACCCTCGCGGCTTCTACCCGCACCTCCGCCGCCCGGCCGCGCCGCCTCTGCCAGCTGCTGCCAGCTGTCAAGATCGCGGAGCAGATCTGCCATGCTGACGTCACTAGGGGTTCTGTCTAGCCGACGGGGAGGGAGATGAATGGGGAAGCGAGAGCGACGAGCAGGGGAAACGAGGGCGACAAGCAGGGGAAACGAGGGCGACGAGCAGGGGAATCGAGGGCGACGAGGAGGGAGATGACTGAGGAAGCGAGGGCGATGGGGAGGGAAAAGCGAAGGCGACGCGGAGGGAGAAGCGAAGGCGACGGGGAGGGGAGAAGCGAAGGCGACGGGGACTCCCTCGGAGGGAGATAAATGGGGAAGCGAGAGCGACGAGCAGGGGAAACGAGGGCGACGAGCAGGGGAAGCGAGGTCGACGGGGAGGGAAAAGCGAAGGCGACGCGGAGGGAGAAGCGAAGGCGACGGGGAGGGGGAAGCGACGGCGACGGGGACTCCCTCGGAGGGAGACGAATGGGGAAGCGAGAGCGACGAGCAGAGGAAGCGAGAGCGACGAGCAGAGGAAGCGAGGGGGACGGGCAGGGCAATGAAAGGGGAAACGAGTGCGACGGGGAAGGGAAGCGAGGGTGACGGGGAAGGAAGCGAGGTTGATGGCAATGGGAAACGAGAGCGACAGGGAAGGCGAGAGCGCGTTATTCGAGGCTTCTAGATAGTGATTGCAGCGCATGCTGTTTCCAGGCCCCTACATCCTCCCCTCGATATGCCCCCGTCTTGCTGGAGAATCAGTGTTCAACTTGTCAACACGACAACTAAAAGATTATAAAAAAACATTAGTGTGCAGAAATTTCAATGTACCGTAGAAAACTTTGTTGGGGTGCACAAATGCCGAAAGCAGCCTGGAACCTGATTATACTGCGCCTTGAAGTGTTCATTCAAAAGATGGCCTATGCAAAAATAGTGAGGGTTCCTAGCTAGGTGGGGACCTTGGACGTTGAGGTTGGGCACATGTTAGTTTACAAAAGCCGAAAGCAGCAAGAGGCACGTTTGGGATTTATTGGACCAATAACTTTGGAGCAAACCTATCATTTATTGACATGCGGAATTTTCTCAAACTCTTATGGCTCTGGTGGTCACTTGCTCTGATCCAGATTTTGAAAGAGACTACCGTCATACCCCGGATATAAGCGCAACCCTCGGATAAGCGTCTAGCGCTTTTAATTGGCGCATGGCGCTTATATCCGCTGCTAGATTATAAGCGCACCCCCTGAAAAAACTTGTTTTATTATAAGTGTACGTAAACTTTAAATTTTGAAATGTGTTCGAAACACTGTAACGATATTTACTTTAGCAGGGGGATGTGTTGCAGATTCACTTCCCTTCACATTTAGACCCTGCACTTGTCAGAGGTCCACTGGGGATCCCCGATGATCCTAGGGAAGGGTTACAGGCATGGCGGCCTGGGGGGTTATGGGCGCACTCACCCGCTACACAAACAAGCCCTTTTATCCCAGTGGTTAGTGGCTGGGATTCTGACATGGTATCAGAGCGAAGGTCTCGGGTTCGAATCCCGGTGTGTGCACCTCGGGCATCCCAGTGCGGGGGGGTGTCAGAGGTCCACTGGTGATCCCTGATTGATCCTAGGGAAGGGTTACAGGCATGGCGGCCTGGGGGGTTATGGGCGCACTCACCCGCTACACAAACAAGCCATTTTATCCCAGTGGTTAGTGACTGGGATTCTGACATGGTATCAGAGCGAAGGTCTCGGGTTCGATTCCCGGTGTGTGCACTTCGGGCATCCCAGTGCGGGGGGGTGTCAGAGGTCCACTGGGGATCCCCGATGATCCTAGGGAAGGGTTACAGGCACGTCGGCGTGGGGGGTTATGGGCGCACTCACCCGCTATATAAACAAGCCCTTTTATCCCAGTGGTTAGTGACTGGGATTCTGACATGTTATCAGAGCGAAGGTCTCGGGTTCGATTCCCGGTGTGTGCACTTCGGGCATCCCAGTGCGGGGGGGTGTCAGAGGTCCACTGGAGATCCTCGATGATCCTAGGGAAGGGTTACAGGCACGTCGGCCTGGGGGGTTATGGGCGCACTCACCCGCTATATAAACAAGCCCTTTTATCCCAGTGGTTAGTGGATGGGATTCTGACAGCACTGGATGCGGGTCCAGTCAGCAGGAGCAGTCAGGAGCTGTCAGAAGCTGTCAGGAGCTGTCAGAGTGGGTGTATCTCCAGCGCGCGCAAGAATTTCACAGACGACCCCATGTAACTTCGACTCGATTGAAAAAGGCAAGCACGAGATCTACAGCTTGGTGTTAAAAAATATATAAAATATATATGTCGTTTTATAAACGCCGGCGCTTATAAATTTACTCGATTATAAGCCCACCCCCCCTAAAAAAACCTGTTTTATTATTGCCCCCCATGGGGGTATATCCGGGGTATGACGGAACCAGAGATGCTGATCAAACTGTTGTACAATGACCTAGCTTACCAATCTGCGAAGATCTATGATGGGATCGAGGAAGAATCGGAACTTACCAATGAGATGTCAAACATTATACATGTGTTATTGCTGTGTAGGCTACAGTGGGTTAGCCTTTAGGGGGTACACAATTCTAGGGTTTCATACTTGTACTCCAATGTTCTCATAGTCCAATCACTTCTTGTTTCTGACATGGTATTAAGAGCTTAGGTCCTAGTCCTAGGACCGCTTAACTAAGGGCCCACCGCTAGAAGCGCCCTCGAGCGCCTCTCTCCTAGTGCGCCCTCGTGCGCCTCTCTTCCTCCTGCTGCCCGTGCGCAGCTCGCTAGTGCCGCGCGCGGCTTTCTTTTTTTTCGCGCGCGTAGCCCACTAGCGGCCCGCGCGCGGCCTTTTTTCTGAGCGCGCGCCGGCCCTAACCGCCCACGCGACCGGCGCCGCCTACGAGCAGCCCCTAGCCGCCCGTCGACCGCCGCCCAGGGTGTCGCAGCCCCGCCCCTAGGCCGCCGCGACGCCCCTCTAGACCGCCGCCCGCGCGCTAGTCAGGCCCACGCACAGCCACGGCCCGCCCGCTACAGCCGCCCACGCGCGCACGCCCCCCGTCGCGCACCGTCGTGTAGCCCAGCCCGAGCCGAGCCGCGCCGCCCGAACCGAACCGCGCCGCCCGAACCGAGCCGCGCAGCCCGAACCGAGCCGCGCCGCCCTACTGTGCCCCACCTGCAGCAACTCCTGCTGTACTACTGCCTCAACTGCAACTGTTACTACTACTCCTACTGCTGCTACTGTTCCTACTACTGCTACTGCCACTATGGCCACTCCCTCTATTCTCACCTTTGACGCTGAGGGCCGCCCGATTAAGTTTGAGGTTTGGTTAGATGACCTCCACCTGTTCCTCCAGATCACTGCCAAGGACGATGTCTCCCTGTATGACCACACGTCAGGCGCCGCTCCCGCACCTCCCGCTACTGCTGACAGTACTGCTCGCTCCCAGTGGCAGACCCGTGATGCTCACGCTCGCCTAGCCGTTCGCAGCCACCTGCCGTTAGATGAGCGCGAGCACTTCGGCCAGCATAAGACCGCTAAAGAACTGTACGACGCCGTAGTCGCGCGCTACTCCTCCCCTGCCACTGCTGCTATAGGCCGTCTCTCACTGCCCTACCTCTTTCCCGACCTGTCCGCCTTTGCCACTGTAGCTGACCTCATCACCCACCTCCGTACCAGTGACCTCCGCTACCGTGCCGCGCTCCCCCCCGATTTCCTCGCCAAGAACCCCCCCCCCCCCGATGTACCTCACCCTATACCACCTTGTCACCCGCCTCCCTGACTCCCTTCGCACTGTCAGGGACCAGTTTCTCGCTCTCTCCCCCACTGACCTCACTGTCGACCTCCTCGAGAAGGAAATCCTAGCAGCTGAGAAGAGCATTGTAGCTGTAGGTGCCTCTCATGGTGACCCCCGCACCCCCTTCTTTGAGGGGTGCTCCCCCTCCCCCCTCCTCCCCTCCATTGCATCTGCTGCTGCTGTCGACTACCTCGGAGCTGAGGGAATCGGGGCCGCGTCTACTCCTAGTGGGAGGCGCAAGTGCGGCAGGGGCAAGGGGGGCAGGGGTGGTGGAGGTGGAGGCGGGGGCGGCGGCGGTGGAGGGGGTGGGGGGGGCGGGGGTGGTGGCGGAAGTGGGAGTGGCGCGGGTGGTGGGGGGGTCAGTGGCAGCACAGGGGGTGGTGGCGGCGGCGGCGGCGGTGGGGGTGGTGGGGGCGGTGGTGGCAGTGGTGGTGGCGGTGGAGCGGGTGGCGGGCGTGGTGGAGCGGTGCAGTGTGGGGGATTCGGCGGTGGCCAGAGGCAGCAGCAGCAGCGTCCCGGCGAGACTCCCTCGCCCCAGCAGCTCCGTGAGTGGTACTCTCAGCGTGGGGGGTCTGGAGGTGAGGGTACCTGCCCGTACGTCATCCGTACAGGTGACCGCGCTGGCCAGACTTGTGGGAGGTTTCACACGGCGCAGCGCTGTTTCTTTCGCCTCGACGACGCCTGGCGCGAGCAGTTCCCTGACGCCTCTGAGCTGCCTCCCTGGTCTGATCTGCTTAGGAAGGGGATTGATGTCTTTGCTCTTGATTATGATGCTATCCTTGCTGCCATGTATGCATTGACTATTAGTGCTGAGGGTGACTGTTACCTGAGTGTACCGCCCGACCCAGGTATTGGGCCTGGTGAGACTGCTGCTCTAGGTACTAGTGCGTCTACTACCCTTGGTACTGGTAAGGCTGCTGCGCTAGGTGCTCGTGCGTCTGCGTCTGCTGGTACTGGGTCTACTGCGGCACTGCACACCTTCACACTGGACTCAGGTGCTTCCCGCTGTTTCTTTCGTGACCGCACTGTCCTTGAGCCGCTAGCTCGGCCTGTTGCTGTCTCCCTTGCTGACCCCTCTGGGGGCCCGGTCCTTGCGACCTCCTCCACTGTCCTCCCTTGTCCTGCGGCCCCGTCTGGCACTCTGTCGGGTCTCTACCTCCCCTCGTTCTCTACGAACTTGGTGGCGGGCTCTGCTCTCCAGGATGGGGGTGTTCACCAGTTCACCCCTGCCTATGAGCGGGTGACCCACTGTACGTGTGCTCGGACGGGTCGCCACCTAGCTACCTTCACTCGGCAGCCGGGGTCCGACCTGTACACACTGACCACTGAGTCCCCTCAGGTAGCTGCGTCTGCGTCTGCGTCAGGTCAGCTGTCGGCTCCCTGCTCGTGTCGCTCCCTGTCGCACCAGACCGTCCTCTGGCACCACCGCCTTGGTCACCCCTCCGTGCAGCGCCTTCGTGGCATGCACTCCCGGTACCTTGTCTCTGGTCTTCCCAGAGTTCTCCCTCCCCTCCCACCCTCGCCTGCTCCTCCCTGTCTTCCCTGTGTCGAGGGGCGGCAGCGCGCCACCCCTCACTCCTCCTCGTTCCCTCCCACAGAGGCTCCCCTGCAGACTCTTCACCTGGACGTGTGGGGCCCGGCCCGCGCCCGGTGACAGGGCCACGAGCGGTACTTCCTGCTGGTCGTCGACGACTACACGCGCTACACCACGGTCTTCCCCTTGCGCAACAAGGGTGAGGTCCCTGATGTTTTGATCCCTTGGATCCGCGCCGCTCGTCTCCAGCTCCGCCAGCGGTTCCAGTCGGACTTTCCTGTCCTGCGTCTGCACTCTGACAGGGGTGGTGAGTTTTCCTCCGCCCTCCTGGCCGCCTACTGTGCGGAGCACGGCATCCGCCTGATTTTTACGCTTCCGGCCTCCCCACAGCAGAATGGGGTTGTTGAGCGCCGCATTGGTTTAGTCATGGAGGTCGCTCGTACCTCCATGATCCATGCGGCTGCCCCCCATTTCCTGTGGCCGTTTGCAGTGCGGTACGCTGCGCATCAGCTCAACCTTTGGCCCCGTGTCTCTGCTCCGGAGACCTCGCCCACACTGCATTGGACGGGGGAGGTTGGCGATGCGTCGGTGTTCCGTGTCTGGGGATGTCGAGCCCTTGTTCGCGATACGTCCGCGGACAAGCTCTCCTCCCGTGCCGTTCCCTGTGTCTTCCTTGGCTTTGTCCCTGACGCGCCTGGCTGGCAGTTTTACCACCCCACCTCGCGCCGTGTCTTCGCCTCTCAGGACGTCACTTTTGACGAGTCGGTACCCTTTTACCGTCTGTTCCCCTACCGCACTGCGCCGCTTCCCCCCCCGCCGCTCTTCCTCACCCCAGGTGTCCCTTCGGTAGACCCCCTTCCTCCCCAGGGTCCTGCTCCCTCAGGTGTTTCCCAGGTAGACCCGGTCGAGCCTGTCGAGGTAGCTGTTGACTCTGGTCCTGCGAGGGGTGCTGCGACTGGGGGTGCTGAGCCTGGGGGTGAGGAGCCTGGCGGTGCTGAGCCTGGGGGTGCTGAGCCTGGGGGTGCTGAGCCTGGAGGTGCTGAGCCTGGGGGTGCTGGGTCTGGGGGTGCTGAGCCTGGGGGTGCTGAGCCTGGGGGTGCTGAGCCTGGGGGTGTTGAGCCTGGGGGTGCTGAGCCTTGGGGTGCTGAGCCTGGGGGTGCTGAGCCTTGGGGTGCTGAGCCTGGAGGTGCTGGCTCAGGTGGTGCTGGAGCTGGAGGTTCTGGAGCTGCTGGAGCTACCACTGGAGCTGGAGGTTCTGGAGCTGCTACGAGTGCTGGCGCTGAGGGTTCAGAGTCTGCTGTTGCGCGGTCTCCTTGGAGTAGCCGCCTTCGTACGCGTGTGCCTCTCACCTCCCAGCAGCTGCGCGACTGGTACGGTCGCCGTCAGCGTCGCGCTCCTGTAGCTCGGGACTCTGCTCCTGGCGGTGCTTCCACTGACGTCACTGGAGCTGAGAGTGGTGCTGGTTCGTTGTCTCCTGGAGGTGCCCACGTTGCTAGCTGGTCCCGGAGGTGCTCGTACCGCTGGTACTCGAGCTGCTGGGGCTGGTGGTGCTGTGTCTGAGGGTGCTCCCACTGGGGACACTGCGACTGGGGGTGCTGGTTCTGGAGGCGCTGCTGCTGGTGGAGACTGTCCTGGAGGAGTTGCCGCTGGGGGTGGTGGAGCTACTGGAGGTACAGGAGCTTCTGTAGGTACTGGAGCTGCTGGTGCTGGCGGCACTACACAGTCGCGCCTGTTCTTCGCTCCGCCGTCTCCGTCGTCTCTGCCGCCGCCTGACTCTGTCCTTCGCCAGGTTCTTAGTCTTCCGTCTTTTACTGGTCTTCCCCTACTGCCTGGCTCACCGCTTCCTGCTCCTTCTCCTTACACTGAGCAGTCGCGAGCCTGCGTCGCGTCCTGTCTCGCCTGTTCGTTCTGGTCGCTCCGGTCGTCGTCTTCCGCGTCCACGTTCGCCGACTGTCCCCGGCACGCACCTTGTCGTCCGTCGTCCTTCCTCTGTTCCACAGTCTGTTCCTCTGCCGTCTCCTCCTGCGTCTTCTTTGCCTCACGTTCCGGACCCTGAGTCTGACCGGTTTCGTGCTGAGCACCCTACTGTCACGCGTCTGCTAGCCACTGTTGTCACTGACCCCTCGTTTGAGTCTTCTGCTGCGTCTGCCTTGGTCGCTGAGCTTGTTGACTTTGCTGCTGCCTGTCGTCTAGACTATGCTGCTAGCCTTGTCGCTGAGTCTGAGTCTGTCTGTCCTCCGTCCGTCGGAGGTGAGTGTGCTCTTGGCACGGACGTCCTTGAGGACAGGCACGAGGACCTTGAGTGTCTTGCAGCCGCTGCGCCTCATCTCGTGGCCATGCTGCTTGCCCCTGAGGGAGACCCGGATGCTATAGACATCCCTACCCCGCGATCTTACGCTGAGGCGATTGCGGGTCCCTACTCCTCTCAGTGGCAGGCAGCCATGGACGCAGAGATGGCATCCTGGAAGTCCACTGGCACTTACGTCGACGACGTTCCCCCTCCTTGGGCGAACATCGTCAGTGGCATGTGGATTTTCAGGGTGAAGCGGCCGCCGGGTTCTCCGCCTGTCTTCAAGGCTCGTTACGTTGCCCGAGGCTTCAGTCAGCGAGAGGGAGTCGACTTCTTCCAGACCTTCTCCCCCACCCCGAAGATGACCACTCTTCGGGTGCTGCTGCACGTTGCCGCTCAGCGTGACTACGAGCTTCACTCTCTTGACTTCAGCACAGCTTTCTTGCAGGGCAGCCTGCACGAGGAGATCAGGCTGCGCCGCCCTCCTGGCTTTACTGGGTCGTTTCCTCCTGGTACCCAGTGGAGCCTCCGGCGGCCAGTCTACGGTCTTCGCCAGGCACCTCGTGAGTGGCACGACACACTGAGGACTACACTTGCGGCTCTTGGGTTCGCGCCTTCTACTGCTGACCTGTCGCTGTTTCTGCGCACCGACACTTTGCTGCCGCCGTTCTACATCCTCGTGTACGTCAACGACTTGGTCTTTGCCACTGCTGACACTGAGGCTCTCGCCCACGTGAAGTCCGAACTGCAGAAGAGACACACGTGCACAGACCTGGGTGAACTGCGCAGCTACCTTGGCTTGCAGATCACCCGGGACAGAGCACGCCGCACCATCACCTTGACTTAGTCACACATGGTGCAGCAGGTCCTTCAGCGCTTCGGCTTCACCTGGTCCTCAGCACAGGCCACTCCTCAAGCTATAGGTCACTCGCTCTCAGCTCTGCCTTCGGATGAGTCCGTAGAGCCGAGTGGTCCTTACCCAGAGCTAGTTGGTTGCCTCATGTACCTGATGACTTGCACTCGTCCTGACCTAGCGTACCCTCTTGGCCTTCTGGCTTGCTACGTGGCTCCTGGTAGGCACCGAAAGGTGCACTGGGATGCTGCAAAGAGGGTATTGCGCTACTTGTGCAGTACATCGGGCATGGGGCTCGTGCTTGGAGGAGGGAGCCCAGTTGTTCTCACTGGGCACTCAGACGCTTCTTGGGTTGACGACCAGGCTATGCAGCGGTCGTCACAGGGTTACACCTTCAGTCTTGGCTCTGGCTTAGTTTCTTGGCGTTCTACACGTTCGTCTTCAGTTCTCAGCTCCAGTTGTGAGGCTGAGATCTACGCCACAGCCATGGCTGCTCAGGAGTTACGCTGGCTCACCTACCTGCTGACCGACCTGGGAGAGCGGCCTCGTTCTCCTCCAGTGCTGTACGTTGACAACAAGGCTGCCATTGTCTCTTGTGAGGAGCACAGACTGGAGCACAGAACGAAGCACATCGCTCTACGGTACTTTCTGGCTCGAGAGTTGCAGCAGCGTGGTCAGCTTCGTCTGCGTTACGTGGCCACTCAGGCCAACACTGCTGATATATTCACCAAGGCACTTCCGCCTGGTGATCATCAGCGTTTCTGCACTTTGTTAAGGCTTTTGCCCACTTTTCCTCACTTGTTGTAGACTTTGCCTGTACTGTGATCTATATATATACCTGCATGCTTGCTAGATATAGATCACTGTGATGCTTGTACTACATATATGCCTCTGCATGTGAACTGGCCTTGTGGCTCTTTGCTTGTGCTCAGAGTGTGTGGTGACGTTGTGATCCACCCTGAGCTTGCTTGCCTTTCTTGACTGGTCTTGTGACCCCTTGCTCTCCCCCACTTTGCCTATGGGGGTGTGTCAAACATTATACATGTGTTATTGCTGTGTAGGCTACAGTGGGTTAGCCTTTAGGGGGTACACAATTCTAGGGTTTCATACTTGTACTCCAATGTTCTCATAGTCCAATCACTTCTTGTTTCTGACATGAGATCGTCAGAGTGACTGACGAAGTAGACGTTGAAAGGGACACCTTCGCAGTCAATGCTATTATTGCATGGAGCGATTATGGTGGGGAGTGACGGCTCCTACCCGTTATGAAGTTGATCCATGATCGGGTCTAGTGTGTCAACATACACATGCACATGCGCATTTGTATGTGTACATTATAGGCAAGGCTGGGTTGTACTGTAGAGGGTTTTATGCACCATTCCATTTATTCTTCACATTCTGACATGGTATCACGCTAGGTTTAGGTTCCTCGCTTCTGCCCTGCCCTTGCCCTAGCATACCCTAGTGCCCTACTGTTGCGCCCCACTTGCGACCCCTCTAACGCCTCATTACAGCCGCTCTAGCGGCCCCTGTACATCCATATTGCGGACCCACTAGCGGCCCCTCTCTGCCTCATCACGCCCTGTCGTAGCACCCCCTCGCACCCTGCCGTCGCAGCCCTACCATCCCTTCACCCCCTCCCTGTCAGAATACCAAGCAGGAATGAGTGCATTGAATGAAATGTGGGTACAAGTACTAACCCTAATATGGGTTGTACCCCATATGGGCTACCCCACTATAGCCTACACAGAACTAGCACAGATGTAGTTTGACACTCCCCCCTCTCTCCCTCCCACCCTACTGCGCAAGCCGCTCCAACGTCAGCGGCACCCGCGCCAGTCGCGCCAACGCAAGCCGTGTCAGCGCCAGATGCTACTGCCGCATGCACTCCTGCTGCTGCTCTGTTGACGTGCCCTGCCGCGTGCCCTCTCGCACGCCCTTCTGTGCGCCTTCAAGCTTTCCTATCACATGTCATATCGTGCCTGCTGAGCCTGCCATACGCCTCCCGGACTTGCCACTGCTGGCCACGGTCGCACTTGCAGCCGCCGTTTAGGGCTTCCTTCTGATAGTATTCTCCTCCCCTTGTGGTTGTCCCCTTTCACTAGCTTAAGTTGCGCCCCTACTCACTCCACTCATGGTAGTTGAGTTTGTTCAGCGGCTCGTTATGGAGTGGCGGGGCGATCGCCTTGATGTCAGATGATTTATCTGCCCCCCTTGGTCCTACTACTCTTGTAGACGATGCCTTCTCAGACGCGCGAGAGACTTATCATGTTGTCCAGGCTGCGTATTTGGGATGTGTATTGCGTGTCGCCTCTACGCGCCTTGCCCATAGTCTCCTCCAACCGCACATCGAACGGATGCACTTTCACCCGGTCGCGACAGTGAAGAAATTTGGATGATTTTTGTTTCTAGCTGCTCCACCCCCTTCTTCGCTACTCCAGGGCGCCTCGTCATGCCCTTAATCTTCCCTAATCCCCCTGCTTTCTCCACTTTTGCGGACCTCATTACCCGCCTGTGCTCGCTTGATGCTAGCTATTGGCTGCTTTCGGCATTGACTAGCCTGCTCGATATGTCAAAATATATTTACATATTTTATATAATAGTTTGCAGTTGTAGTGTAGTTATTGCATCATACTTGGTGGTGCACTTTCTTGTGTTGCTGTTTGCCTATTTGTACTCCCAATTCTCATTAGTGAAGGCCTCTTTTGGCTTGCACTTTTACTCTCGCTACCTTCCTAAGCCTAAACCCTAAGCTTAACTTAATCTACTCTTTCAACATGCTATCAGAGCGGGTCCCTCCTAGCACCTAATTTTCATGGGCCCACCGAACCCGCCACCGTCCATGGCGGTTTACTGTTCTGCTGCCCCGCCCCCCGTCTCGTTACGAGCAGCCGCAGCCACGAACAGCTGCACGCAGTTGCGTACGGCCGCATGAAGCCGCGAACAGCAGCGCGCAGCCGCGTACAGCTGCGCGCAACTGCGCCGCTCCCCTGCCCGGCACCTGCTGCTCGTACGCCAGTGAAAGGGAGGAGGGAGGGTGTGGGGGTGGCGCGTGGGTGACGCAGCTCCTGCCGCCGCCGTTCGCCTTTTCCTCCCTCTCACTGCTGCTCGTGCACCCGTGGGGGGAGGGGGAGGGTGAGGGGGTGGCGAGAGAAATCTTGCAAAGCCAGCAGCCGCCCCTCCTCTCTCTCTCACTGCCGCTCGTGCTGCTGTGGGAGGGAGGGTAAGAGAGGGTGGCGGAAGTCAACCAGGTATCTGCAGCTGCCACGCGCTGCTACCGTGGCACCTCCTGCTGCCGCCCCTGCCGCCACCTGCCCTTGTTTCTGCTGCCTGCTGCTGGGGCCTGCAGGTGCTGCCGTCGAGCCGCTGCTGTCCTGCTGCACGTTGCAGCCACAAAGCCTGCTCCTTAGGCGACCTGTCGCTCCTACACCTCCTGCTGCTTCTACCTTGGCTAAGGGTGTGCTACAGCTGTATTTGCCATTTCTGCTCCGGCTACTTCTGCTCTTGCCTGCTTCTGCTTCCGCTGCACTACTGGTGTACCCCAT